TTTTTAAAAAAGATTTTATTTTATTTCATTTCATTTCATTTCATTTCATTTCATTTCATTTCATTTCATTTCATTTCATTTATTTCATTTATTTATTTATTTATTTATTTATTTATTTATTTATTTATTTATTTATTTATGACACACACAGAGGAAGAGACATAGGTAGAGAGAGAAGCAGGCTTCATACAGGAAGTCCGATGTGGAACTCGATCCCTGGACTCCGGGATCACACCCTGAGCCGAAGGCAGACTCTCAACTGCTGAGCCACCCAGGCATCCCTAAACAAGAGTCTTAATAATTTTGAAAAAACAATTTAGTAAGTGGTTTATTTGTGCCAGTCACCTTTGCGGCCAGGAAAGCAGTCCCTCTCCTAATACTAGGTAAACAGGTATTTTCAGCTTTGGTGGAAACTTTCCACTGACAGTGCCATGCACAGAGTCAAAAAGTACAATATTTCAGATAACTTAAAGTTAGTGTGCTCTGGAAAATAGGTTTCGATATGGTGATGATGTTTATATTTAGTGAATAAATTTTGTTTTATGACCTAGTAGCCTTTTACCTTAATGCTGCAAGGAATTATTTAAAGTTTTAAGGACCTTCTCAGGAGCTGTTAGGTGAAAATAACACTTGGAAACTAAAGCTATTATTATCATTGTTATTATTAATTTTCGATATGTTACAGGAAATTGGTGGAATTAGTATGGTTGGTTCATTTAGAAGCTATTCCAAAATATACCAGCAGATGGAGGAATTCTTTAATAAAAAGGGCTAAAGTGTTTTGCTGATGAGGTGTTGAAAGCTGGGCAGTAGCTTTTAAAAGCTCCATATTAAAGCATGGCAAAAGTAAATAAAAAATATAACCTTTCCTGAGTTAATAATTTTCAGAATGGCTCCAGAAGAAAGATAATATGAATTAATTGATAATATGAAGGGGAAAAAAATGAATGTTGCATTTGTTCTTGCTTGATCTTTTTCCATCACAAGCCTCTTGTACAGCTTTTTTACTATTATTTCTTTTTTTTAAAGATTAATTAATTAATTTATTTATTTATTTATGATAGAGAGAGAGAGGCAGAGACACAGGCAGAGGGAGAAGCAGGCTCCATGCCAGGAGCCTGACATGGGACTCGATTCTGGGACTCCAGGATCGCGCCTTGGGCCAAAGGCAGGCGCCAAACTGCTGAGCCACCCAGGGATCCCCTCTTGTACAGCTTTAAGTTCACAGTTACTGAGTTCCCATTGGAGTATATAGTTAGGCCCAAGAATTAAATTTTATTTCATATTCCATTTTATTTTTTTTCATATTCCATTTTAAAGCTCAGATGAGGAGCCTCAAAACTAAGATATTTGTGTGTTTTAGATCATAGCTTATTTGAAAAGGGGCTTTTTGTGTCTGAGGGCTTTGAGGCTTTGCATTCCTGGTGGCAAGGTGGTTACTCAATGGATGCAAAGTTTTTATGCTACCTTATAGATGTTCTGAGACAATTTATAAGATTGAGGTAGCCAGTACAACACCAATTTTGTGAATGGATTAATAATTGCTTTCAATTACAGAGGGGTATTCAAAGTAACTTCTTAAAATCTTCACTTTTACTAAGTAGTCTAAAGCAACCTTTGATTTATACGCCATTTATTAGACTACATACTTTTTAACCCATTTGGCTTCAACTCAGGAAATGTTCCAGTATTAAAATAATATAAAATCAATCGTCTTAACTAATTCTCTAGAATAAATCATTATTCACTATGAGCTTCAGCTGTTTGGGGATTCTTTATTTCTGCTGTGCTAAGCCTTGATTCATTTTGCCCAATGCAGTCAGTGTTCTGCTCTTCTATTAAAGAACATGACTATATCCGTAGCATGCTAAATAAAAAAGGGTTTTTTGTTTTCTTTTTTTTTTTTTTTTTTTAGGGCTGCTTACTTTTGGTTGAGGTTATATGGAAGTATTAAAGCATGAGAAAAAACATCTTCGAAGTAATGGCTTGACAAAGTATTCTATTCTGAACCTTAAACAGAGATCATCCCATTTTAGCACCATGCCTGTATCTGTAAATCATTTCACAGTAGCATCTCTTTCTGTTTTAGGTGAAATGGAGACGGAAAGCCAGCCCAAGAGGCTCTTCCAAGGCACTACCAGTATGCTGTCTCCGGAGGCTGCTCAACTGTCTGATCTCAGTTCATGGTAAAAAATGAAATAAAAAAAATGAAATCAAATCCAAAGGATGTTAGGGTATGATCTATTTAAAAAGAGCCACATCAAAAGCATATTGGAATCATTTGATATAATATTCAATTTTTTATTCATGCTCTCTAGAGGGGAAAGCTCCACGGAGGTACAGATAATGTGGGAAAAAAAGCAGATCATTTGAAAGTCACTGAGCACACCTTTAGAAGTGTGTGTGTTTTTGGCACCTTCATCTGCCTTCCTAGCTCCTGTTAGGTCAGCCTCTCTCAGTAGGTGCTAATGGTGCAGGGGCGTGGCGACAGCTGGATGGTGTGAGAAAGAGTTTCTGGGTTGCTGTGGAAAATGTGCCTTGATCGTAGCTGCTCTGCCTGCATTTTGTATTATATCCTTTGGATGTATCGGAGAGTACCGGCATCCTCTGAAGCATGGCCTTTTCTGTTGTTATAAAATCTTTTTGAAGTTTTTGGGATATTCTGTCACAGTCCTAACTAGGGTTTTGTTTTTATACTAGCACTTCCTGATTCCTGTGGTCTAGTCACATAATTTTTTTTAAGTCTTACTTATCTGAGTTTAGGTATCTAAGGCCCTTCAATGTTTTTGTGCAAAAAATTATCTTCTTTTCATATGCCTGAAGTTGAGTACTTGGATGCCTACATACCTATTGGAAGGAAGGGGCAGGGATAGTGGCAATAGCCAGGTAACATTTTGAAATCTTTCAGTCTGTATTTCTAATCAACTCACTGAGCACCCATGTTCTGGACATAATTGTGTATGTGTATGGACTTTTTGTTCCCTGAGTTTTATAGGTGAGGGTCTTTTTTTAAAAGCCCAAAAGTGCATTCACTTTAAAAATAGAAGGATGGTGCCCTCTAAATGGAAGAATTGTGTAAGTAATACTTATAAGGATTAGAGATTCTTTGTTTCCAGATCACATATTCATTGTTTTGTGTAAGATAACTTGTACTTCTAGTTGACCAAGAAGTCACAGATTCTTCTAGTATTAGACTCGTTGATCAGTACTGTTCTAACCTTGGAACAGATGCCTTTTAGATTATTCTAGCTATTTTCAGCCCCACAGTCTCTCTTCTCTCTCATCTATGTCTGTCCTTGGTAGCTCAGTGTGCTAATTTTGGCATAGAGTGCCTTTCCAGGTATGTAGATGATTGCAAAGAGAAAACTTCTAAAGCTTGTCAAGAGGACTAGTGGATGAAACTCTATACTTAGTGGAAACTGCCTATCACTTTTATGGTAAAGTGTGTTTTAATATAGGCACATGACATTAAAAATAGCTTTGCTTACCCAGTTGCTAACCAAGTAACCAAGTTGGGGAAAAGATAGGGAAGACTTTTGATAAGCTGAGAACATACATTGTTAAGTGGGTTTTTTTTTTTAAAAAAAAAAAGTTTCATAGACTGTACAGGATGCCATAAAACAGATTCAGACAAATAAATAAGAAAGGAAAGAGGGGATCCCTGGGTGGCTTAGTGGTTTGGCACCTGCCTTTGGCCCAGGGCGCGATCCTGGAGTCCCAGGATCGAGTCCCATGTCAGGCTCCCAGCATGGAGCCTGCTTCTCCCTCCTCCTGTGTCTCTGCCTCTCTCTCTCTCTCTCTCTCTGTGTGTGACTATCATAAATAAATAAAAAAAAAGAAAGGAAAGAGAGGGTCCGGGATTTACCAAGGATCCTTACCCCTTGTCCAGACGTTTATTCCTCTGAATAGCAAAACTTGAGTAGTCAACAATGGTGGCTGCGGTGAGGGTCCTATTTCTGTTGTCACTACTCACATTCTCCTTAGACTTGTGACTAGCTATGAGAGCCCTGGGGACATCCACATTGATGATCAAGGGCACTTTTTGATCCATAAAGACAAAAGGTTTGCCTCACACTGGAAAGATTTGCTTTATTCATGGCTAGTCATAGAGTGATAATAAGCCAACATAACAGTGTTATATTAAAATAAATTTATTACTCAAAATTCACAAAACTAAGTGTGAAAGGTATTTAAGTAACTAAACTTTAAAAGATGTTTTCAGTAAGTTCATAGCATCTGTACTCCTGAGGATATTAAAACTTAAAATTGCACCGACTTTTTGGACACTTTGTATCCTAATATTGCTGACATTTATGTCTGTAATGCAGAGATTCTAAACATGAGTTACTCATGCTATGTAAAAAATTTTTTTTGATGCATAAAAATTGGATCCTGCTTTTGCAAACGCTTTTTTTTTCTATCTCTGTAATGCAGTTTCATTGATCAGACATCGGTATTCTTAGAAATGAGGACAGAGACAGAGACTCTGTGTTCTGGTTTCTGTTGCCAAGGATTGCGATCTACTTGATAACCAGGGAAACCATTTTTATACGTTTTAGGGAGCAGAAGAGGTAGCAGTTCATTAGCAGAGGGTATCTCCTCATTTAAATTGTCATACTTTGTTCCTGCCCTACTCTACAAAGAAAAGATGGATTTTAAAACTTTAATTTTTTTTATTTTAAAACTTTAAATTAAACTTTACATATTAGATAATGGTCTTTCAAATCTGACATCTTTGAAGTGTAAATTAAGCATGAAGTTTGAGTATGGACCTACTTGGAGTTTGTGTCCAGTGTGCCAACTACTGCCCAAAGGAAAAAGTAGGCCTGCTCTTTATATATTTTTTACTAGATGAAAACTCTGAGATCTTTGCCAGCCAAAGCTGGAAAACCTTGTCAACCACAAGGCAGGAATTATGTCATTCTGCATTTAGTTCTTCTGAACCTCAAGAATTTGATCATAGCTTGGAATTACACCTTTCCATGGCGCTTTGATTCTTTTTGCATGTTGGGAATTCTTGTTATGCTCCTCGTTCCCTGGGGAACAAGATTATCTGTGGCTTGCTACATGAAATAAAGGAGTTCTGAGGGCCACTAACCATGTAGTGAAGGTTAAGTGATAGTCTGTTTCTCATACGGAAAAGGAAAAGTTCTCCCAAAAAATTTCTTGCCCAGTGCATCGTAGTGTTGGTGTGACTGCTAATTTAACCTTGACAGTTGTATTTTAACATTTTTCATTAGATTTCACTTAGTGATTTTCACATTGTTTTTAATGGTATATGTATCATGGCAAGAGAGTTTAATCAGGAATATGTGATGTGTACAAAGAATATGATTTAATTGTGATTTATTGACTAATAGAACTGTATACATATATCTTGAACGTGTTTAAGGGAGCAGCTTAGACATCTGTGCTGGTACTTTTAAACTCCTATCCCCAAGGTAACTGGAAATGATTATACTTAAATGTGTGATCTTAAAAACTTAGGAGTTAAATGCAGAAATATGATGTTGGATCTTTCTAAGGTAAGATGATTGAGGCCAGAAAACTTACCCGTGGGCCTGTTTAGCCCACACCATGGGGCAGGGGATGCCCCATAGTCTTACCTTATACCAGAATCTATTCAGGGCTTGATAGGGCTGTGGCTAATTTCTAGTCTATTTCCCTGCCTGTTCCTAATCTGATGGAACCCAGATTATTGACTGGACAAGGCACAAAGTGGCACCAGATGGGTAATAGCGTGAGTCACACTGGACATCCTGATTCTGTTGTTACTTTATCCTTTGAATGTTTTAATGATTCTCTTATACTTGCATCCTTATTTTTTTAGACAGAGGGCACTACTTCAATAATCATAAGTATTTTTGGTTGTGCAGTTCAGATAATGCATCACTATGTATACTCGGTGGCCAGAATGAATTAGAATTAGTTCATTTTTGATTCGTGTACTCCTGTGTCCAGTTCGAACTTTCTAGGTCCTTTGCTTTCCTCACATTGTCTGGGTCTCAGCCGTTAATCTAAGGCCCATTCACACCTCCATTAGAGCTTCCGCTAGGAAAGGAAAAAGATAAACTCAAATTGGACCATACTTTGTTGCTTTTAGAAGGCCTGGTAGAAGGTTGACAAGTGAACGCTATAAAAGTCACTTTTGTTCAGTGATCTCTCTATAAATAAAAAAATCATGTCAATCTTTTTTTTACGCAGATTTACTAACAGTGGGTAATCTATGACAGTGGGTAGTCTCTGCTTCCATGACCATGCATAGTAGTGTCAGATTTATTAACAGAAACTAGATTTAACAGATTTTAGTTTAGTGAAAATATCTGGTTAATGGTTTACCAAGTTCTGAATCTAAATTACACTGGAGCCTAAATGTAAGTATGCTATTTTACTATTAATGAACAAAATTTTTCATATGTTCATATTTAATAATAGAAAAGAACTTCCTGAAACAGAATATATGAAACAAAATGTTCAGATTTGTATTCTTTTTTCTCAGTAACTTCTTGGTAATTTCTCTGTTAGCTTATTTCTTATTTGTCTTAAGGTAATCAACAGTGTTAGATGGGAGCTTTCTTCTCATGAGCCATGTTCTGTGTTTTTGAATGAATACAGGATTCACCTACGCAAGCAGGTCTTATTACAAATGGAATCTTTTAACCCAGGGCTCACCATAAGTCTGGTGGTTGGAATAAGAAAGTCTTTATTTATATTCAGATTATCTGCTTGGTGGCCAAATTTTAATCTAAGCCTGTTTCTTCCTGCCAAGTAGCACAGAGCGTGTCCTTCGGCTGCCTGGCCAATATGTGCTTTAGGAAAGTAAATTCATTTTAATATTAGTCTAGGCAAAATGCTGCAGGAGGAAAAATCACATATGTTCCAAAGGCAAATATAAAGGTCTTTTGATTTTCCAATGCCTTAGATTATCTGTGTAACTTTCTTTCAGTAGTTTGAATAATTCATATTTTAGACGTATTTTACTATTGGGTTGAAAATATAGCAGTGCCAGCTAAATTTTCCAAACTTCTTACTTAAAAGTGCTGTTATTAATGATGCATTTCACAGTAGTGAGCTTAGAGTGGGAGTACCGTGGACTGTACTGTTTCCATTTTTATGTTTACTCTTCCGAAGCTTATTTGTATTCTGCCTCCACCTAAAAACAATCCACAGGCAATAGAAAAATAGCAGAGAAGTGGGGGGAAGGTGTTACATGCCATTGAGGTGGAGGGAAGGATATCAGGCCTAGAAACTTCCAAATGTATCATGGGTTGCTTAACACTGGAAATATATTAACTCGGAGATCCATAAAAGTGATCATATATAAGACCCCCCCCCAAAAAAAAAGAAAAAGATTCCCAACATTTAGCCTCAGAGCATATTAGACCAGGTTGGGCTTTTGTGAAAGAGCTAGTGACCAGACTTCAGCTAAAATCTATATTCCCTGATTCATTATTCCTTCTCCAATTCTACACTTGCTTCCCTCTTCAAAATTAAAAAGTGTGTCTATGTAAATCCTAAAACTGCCTGACTACCTCTCCAGCTTTGTCTCTCATTGTGTTCTCACTCTCTGTACTTACAGCCACACTAGCCTGCTTTTGGCTCCTAAAACTACCCTTGCTTCCTCCCAGACCATACCTAGTTAATGCCTACTCATCTTTCAGATGACAGCTCAAGTGTCACTTTGAGGGAACGTGTTCCTCTAAATTAGATCGAGTTACTCATGTTATATGCCCGTGGAGCCCTTTGTATCTTGCTTTTACTGCTTTGATCACAAATTACATATGTATTAGCATGATTACTTAAATGTCTGTCTCCTGTACTGTAATATAAGTTCCATGAGGGCAGGGATCATGTCTGTCTTAGACACATCGTATTTCTAATATCTAGCATACTTCCTGCACTTGGCAGGTAGTCAGTAAATATTAGAATAAATGAATGAGTGAAAAAGTGAATTCAGGCCAGATATTGAGCATAGAATTTATATGTTGGATTGATGGGACGCAGAGCCAGAAAGGCAACCTGGTACGAAATTGTGAAGGCTGTTAATTTTGAACACTGAAGTAAGAAGCCAGGTTTATGAAGCAGGCTGGATGGAGGGTTGGCAGCCCTGAGAGCCTCGACTAGATGGGTAAGGCATCCCTGGGCTGGGTTATAGAGGCTCTGATGCCCAAAGAAGGAGTTTGAGTGGAAGGATGGGAGCAGAAGCTAGCTGTGAGAATCAAAGAGGCAAGTGGAGGGTCAGAGTATTGGGTCCGTGGCTATAGAACATTCCTTTTAGCAGCCTAACTGGATAGTCACTGGAGGCTTGTAGAGACATCAGCGACACCTTTGTGTTCTGAAAGCAAGAGAAAAGGAAACAGTGTCCAAAATTCATCAAATTAGAAGAATTTAAAAGACAAACAACAGAGGGAGAAATTTAAAAAAAAATGTGTTTGAATTGAAGGTGTCATGGGAATGGGGAAGCAGTCCAATTTAGAGTAGTTGAATGCCTGTGTTCTGGAGCAGAGGAACTGTGAAGCAGTGTCCTTAGTAGGATACTTCAGACAGTCTAGGGTACCTCAATGAGTAACCATTCATCTTACTCGAAGGCTGATGGGAAGGGAAGAAGATAAATCTCAGGATAGCAATCTCTTGGGCTGAAGGTAAGGGAACTCCCTCACGAAAATCATGACACATCAAGAGGAATGCTTCCTGTATTTTGGACATTCTGGTGCTTCCAAGAGAGCACTAAAATGATACAGAACTTGAATGTCTTACTTTGGATTTCTGTGACCTTGTTTTTGCAGGTACCCGAATATAGTAGTACATTATGTAGTTCATTGCTGTTGCTTATGCTTTTTATTATTTACAAATGCTCTTACTGATTTGTGAGTTCTTGAAACTATGTCGTTGCATGTTATGTTTACCTTTACCCTGATAGATGCATCTGCTTATAATTCTTTTTGCTTTGTCCTCAGTTCAGATATTTTGGATGGCAGTAGTAGCAGCAGTGGCTTATCCTCAGACTCACTGGCTAAAGGCAGCACAACCGCAGAGTCTCCAGTAGCATGCTCCAATTCATGCTCTCCGTTCATCTTGATGGATGATCTCTCACCCAAGTGACTTACCCATTTCTGATTCAGTGTTTTAACTGCTGTTTCCTACATAAAACATTCAGTGAGGAACGCAGAGAACTTTGATCCATAATGAGGATTAAAGTGTGGCAGACCTAAACCATTTCAATGCCGTACTATTTGGCATCTCTCTTCTCTAAAGTTCAATTTTACGAGTGTAGTGATCTTACTTATGTCTCTTTTTGCTGATCTCATTTTGGCTCTAGTGACTAAATCTCAAATACTCATTTTTGATTGCTTAGAGCATATGTTTTTTTTCCTCAGTGCCGCAGAGAGCACCTATTTTAGAATCTATACGCTTAAGGAAAGCACTAATGTGTATTTTTGACAGAGGTTCTTTTTCCCAGCAGTGACACAACAGCTAAAGTTGATCAGAAATTCTCTTGCTTGAGAGATTTGTGTTTTTTTTCTTTTTTTGTTCTCTGTTGACTACATAGTTTCAAATCTCTTTATTTCACAATAATAGATGGATTGCTTTCAATTATATTAAATTATTATTTTTCTGCATCAGCTTAAAGTACATTATTTTGTTTCCCTTTGCTGTTTGAGCTGCTTACTTGCCATTTCTCACAGAGGGGAAGAAACACATAGTTGCTTTCATTACTATCCATACCGCTTCTTTGCTGGTGGAGTGTATGACGTGAGGATTGATTTTAGTGCAGAGAATGTAAATGGACTGATAGGATGCCTGGATTACTCACCACAGGTTCTTAGGCCTTAGCCACCACAGTTGATATTTTTCTTCCCAAACTTGTTTGTTGCCCGAAGGAATATATAAAATATTGTTAATGTTTCTAGGTGGTGTTATCAAGGAGAAGAAATTCCTGCCTTGACCAGATGTGTGGAGCATCTACAAATGAATGAATAATGTTATATACTCACAAAGCACTGTGTAGAAAAGCATACATGGAGCTTGACAGCTTGTTTCTGGTGATATTATGAGGCCTGAGGTGCCTTGGGGTACAGTGTTGTGCTGTAAAGATGGATGTCATAATGTAGGGTAGATTATGTGTCTGGTCACTACATA